AGGTGACTGTCCAATCTCCTCTTGAAGATTTCCAGGGTAGGTGATTGTACCACCTTTGGAGGGAGTTTATTCCACAATCTGGACACCCTAACAGTGAAGGCATTTTTCCTAGTGTTAAGCCCGAAATGGTCTTCCAGGACTTTCCGGCTATTACAACTGGTATTCCCCAAGGATGCCCTGGTGAACAGTTGTTCACCAAGCCCTTGATGTAATCCCCTGATATAGTGGTAAGCTGCTACCAAATCCCCTCTCAGTCTTCTCTTTTTTAGGCTGAAGACACCCAAGTCCCTCAGCCTTTCCTCATATGGCTTGCCTTACAAGTCTCTGATCATACAGGTGGCTCTTCGCTGGACTCTTTAAAGCTTTTCCACATTCTTGTTGAAATACAGTGCCCAGAACTGAATGCAATACTCCAGCTGTGGTCTCACCAATGCTGAGTAAAGCAGAAGAATCACGTCCTTGGCTTTGCTTGAAATGGATTGGTTGCTGCATGCTAAAGTATTGTTTGCCTTGCTGGCTACAGCATTGCACTGACAGCTCATGCTCATACTATGGTCTATTATTACCCCTAGGTCCTTTTCAGTTCTGGTGCCAGTCAGTTTGATGCCACTGAGCTTGTAATTAAGTTGGGGATTGTTCATTCCCAGATGGAGCACTTTACACTTCTCAGTATTGAACTTCATCTGGTTCCAATCCACCCAACTTGCTACCCTGTCTAGGTCTGCTTTTATCTGCAGCCTGTTTTCAAGTGTGACCACACTCCCCAATAACTTGGTGTTGTCCATGAACTTGGCCAGAGAGCTATTCAACCCCCACATCCAAATCATTGATAAAGATGTTGAAAAGCACTGGTCCAAACATCGGCAACTGGTGCCTCCTGATCCTGGGGGGGGCACCAGTGGCCGAATGCCAACTGGGGGGGGGGGTCCCCCAGTGGCTAAAGTGCTGGTGGCAAACCCAGAAGTGCCAGCAGTGCTTCCCTCAGTGCCTCAGGGCAGGCACCAGCCATTGCCCCCACTCCCTGGCCGGTGAGGGCCAACCTCAGCAGGGGGCATGTGCCCTCCTATGCGTTATCTATGGGTCCAAGCACAGACCCCTGAGAGACACCACTGGCCATTTCTCGCCAGGACAACACAGATCCATTCAGCAGAACTCTCTGTGTCCTACCCCACAGCCAGCTCCCTACCCACCTAATTGTCGAGCAGTTAAGCCCTCAATCCTCCAATTTTCCCATGGGAATATCACAGGATACCAGATTAAAGGCCTTTTGGAAGTCTAGGTATACAGTGTTGACCTCCTCTCTCTTATCGAGGTGGCAGGTTACCTGGTCATAGAAAGAGACTGGTAAGACAAGACCTGCCTATGACAAAGCCATGCTGGCTGTCATTCAGAATCCTACCTTCTGCAAGCATATTGCACATGGACTCCTTGATGAATTTCTCCAAGATTTTTCCCTGGGTTAGAAGTTAGGTTAATTGGCCTATAGTTGTCTGGGTCCTCTCTCCTCCCCTTCTTGAAGATGGGCACAACATTGGCCCCCTTTTTAAGAAGGGGAGAAGGGATGAGCTGGATAACTTTAGGCCAGTCAGTCTTACCTCTATCCTTGGGAAAATACTGGAAAAAATCATCAAAGAGCGCATTTGTGAAGACCCAGCAGCGGAAATGATGCTGAAAGGAAACCAGTATGGGTTCATCACTAGATCCTGCCTGATAAATCTTACAGCCTTTTATGACCAGGTCACACACTGCCTTGACACAGGAGCTGAGGCTGATGTCATCTCCCTGGATTTTAAGAAGGCCTTCGACACAGTTTCACATCCTATTTTCATAGGGAAGCTAACAGGCTGTGGAGTGGATGCTTACACAGTCAGGTGGGTGGCCAACTGGCTTAGGGACCGCACCCAGAGGGTGGTGGGTGGGTCATTCTTAGCCTGGAAGGAGGTGGGCAGTGGGGTCCCGCAGGGTTCAGTCCTTGGACCAGTGTTATTTAATATCTTCATAGCGATATGTATGAGGGTGTGGAGAGCACCCTCTCCAAGTTCACAGATGATACCAAGTTATGAGGCAAAGTTAACACACGGGAGGGCAGGGAGCAGATACAGGCTGATCTGGACAGGTTGGACCAATAGGCAGAACCAAATAGGATGTAATTCAACAAAAATAAATGCAAGGTACTCCACCTAGGAAGGAGGAATCCCCAGCACACCTATAGGTTGGGGGATGACCTCCTCAGCAGCTCAGCGGCTGAGAGGGATCTTGAAGTCATAGTTGGCTCCAAGATGAACATGAGCCAACAGTGTAACGAAGCCATCAACAAAGCCAATCGCACTTTGTTGTGTATTAGCAGATGCATGACCAACAGATCGAGGGAGGTGATGCTCCCTCTCTATGTGGCATTGGTCAGGCCACAGTTGGAGCACCGTGTCCAGTTTTGGGCGCTGCACTTCAAGAGGGACACGGAAAATCTGGAGAGGATTCAGAGGAGGGCCACTCACATGATTAGCGGCCTCCATGAAAGACCCTACGAGGGGAGGTT